ATTATCTATCTATCTATCTATCTATCTATCTATCTATCTATCTATCTATCTATCTATCTATCTATCTATCTATCTATCTATCTACATGTATCTATCTGTAATTAATAATAATATAATAACTCAATAATGACTTTTTAAAAAACGAAAGCGAAACCGGAAGCATACATAGATTCTATGCAAATCAAAAACTTTCAAGATCTACAAGAAACACAAACACACATGTTTTAGCTGAGCGTTGAATGACGACGTGCTTTTTCAGCCTTTGGTCTGTTATCATTTAGGTACGTGAGTAAGGAAATATAATGGGGGGTGTTTTCTACTTGTTTTTATTTTTCACATAAGTTGAAACTGTTCAACACCAGTGAAGCTTCCCTTGTAGGAGGAATACTATAATCTAGATATAGATCTAAGTCTAGATCTAGATCTAGATCTAGCGACCACTATAGTATGATGAAAAGAGGGATGATAGATCCCTGAAGGCGAAGGGAAGACTTCCGTAACGAGCGACCACTATGAGATAATAGCAGAATTGATGGGTAGGGTTTGGGTTAGGGTTAGGGATAGGCCTCTTCTTTATTGTGTTTGATGGGGTGGTCGCTCGTTATGGAAGTTCTTCCGATCTGAATTGTGGAAGCTTTCTCAGTTTCTTGTTGACTTGATACAGATACGGAGTCTAGACTAGTCTACGACACGTACACGGCACGGTAACCGGGCTCCTAGCCTCAGCAATGTCTACGTACACGGTAACCGGCAACTGGGCACGTCGGCCTAGTCTCCGTGTCATTTACACGGTAACCGGGCATGTAGCCTCAATACTATACCTTCGTACATGGTAACCGGCAACCGGGCATGTAGTCTCAGTTGAGTGTCCCGTACACACGGTAACCGGGCAGTTCAGTTTTTGTCATCTGGTGTAGCCATCCCCACCATCCCCCGACTGTACCTTTTTAAAAAAATCAATAATCCCCCCTTTCCAGAGCCCTTTACTTCGCAGCGCACAGACTTTTAATGAACTTTGGTGACCCCAACTGGTACTCACAATGTGATGCGCACGCGCAGGTTCACTGACTGGTCACGTTGGCGAGCCCGACAAGACGCTTGTATGGCTTTCTTTTTTTTCAGCAAGTGACAGCACAGGACTAATATTGGAATGAATTATTTTCATTCCGGTTACCGTGTACGTAGATACTGAGACTAGGTGCTCGGTTAACGTGTACGTAGATACATGCCGTTAAACGTAGAAGACGCCTCTTTCTGATTGGCTGCTAATTTTTGTAATGTGATGTCATCACTTCCTGGGATACCCACAGACTCCGTGGAGGTACCGCATGGAATGACGTGTTTTCGGTAACATTTCTGATTTCCTAGATCTAGATCTAGATTCTAGATCTAGATATAGTACTTAGACATGATGGCAGATCACTCAGATCTAAATCGTTGATGCTCAGTAGAACAGTAAGATTAAGAACGCTGAAATTGAAACACGGTAAATGCAAAGACAATATACCGCATCAAAATTGCCGTAAAGACACTGGAGGATTAGATCTAGATCTCCCCCCCCCCCCCCCCCCCTCCTGCATTCTTCATCACTATACATTTTTTAAAAACAAACTACAAAAACAAAGCAACAAATTATAATTAATGGGACAAACTGTTTTTCAGTCGGGAGGAGGAGAAGAGAAAAAAGAACTGTCCGGGACCGGGATCGAACCGCTCATAAAACTTTTGCATGACTTCAAATGCAGACGCGCTGTCTATTCGGCCATCAGAACATCTGACTGCGAGAGGTAGATTAATATTTATATGCATAGCAAGGAGATTAAAAGACACTTCCATCTTTGGTGCCATGCGGTTGGCTATACTTAGATGTAGTCACGTGATCGGAGGGGTATCCTGGTTTGACGTCAAACAAGATGGGCGCCACACCTAAAAATAGTTTGCGTCCTTCTTAGTTTAATCGTATGTCGTAGAAACTGAGACTAGGTGCCCGGTTACCGTGTACGTAGATACTAAGACTAGGTGCCCGGTTACCTATATAATCAAAGTGAAGAAACGGTCATTTTTCTGCAGGTTTGTTCGTGGATTTTCAATCAAATTTTCACTTTTCGGCTCAACACCTTTCATGCCCATTTAAAGAACACATTTTTATGTGGATTTAACTGAAAAACATTGATAAAAAATAAAAGGTACAAAAAAATGTAAATTTTCAGTTTCCTCAGGCTCTCAAGCTAAGGAAATTATAACTCATCTTCGGCAGCCATTTTCTTAGTACTTTTACCTCTGAAACCAGGCTATCCCACCTTCTTCAATGGCAAATATCTCGACTTTTATTCAAGCCCAAGCTAGATGGATATTTTTTAAACTGAAAGCAAAGCAAATAAATAAGCTTTCAGATATCAATAACAGTGTACCCATAAATTGAAGAGTGCCTGATTCCACCACGTTTCGACACGTTAGTTAATAAAACATAGCTAGCTATACCTGAATAGAAGACTAATTTTCAAAGTCGTTTATCAAAGCTAAACTATGAATATGATGCAAACCTAAAAGTGACTGACCTCTTGTACATAATTAGTAGTCTAGTACCAACTACCCATTATATTAAGCTCCTTGACGAGCTAATAAAAAATGATTTATACAACTCTAAGGAGTTGTCATCCTATCCTCTAATGCTTTTGTGTAGGCCTCTTTATCTTTTGACCCTATTCATTACACGTATATGGAGAGTAGGCTTTCACTTTATACAAAACTTGCGGGACTGTCGGATTTTGTCCGATTTTTAGCCATGATTTTGGTTTATATTTGAGCTATATACAACAAAAAGAATCTGAATTTGTGTGTGGTTTTAAAAGGGGCAGTCGTAGATTTTATTATTGTTTTTTAAAAGTGTACAACTGCAGTAAATCTTTTAATCCTTGACATTCTATTAGATATGGCTGTATACTCATTATTATTCTGCAGATGACAGCATGGATCAAAGATGGGACACACTGGTGGGTACTATAGACCCAGTTATACTGGAAGCTGTCTCGGCTTTAAACTTCACAAACATGACTCCAGTACAGGTATGTTTTTCATCGACCATTGCAAGCAGACTCTAGGTTAAATTAAAGTTCATTACAAGTAATCAATAATCGCTGCTTTTCTTCAGTGATAAAGAGAGATGAAATGAAGCATGAATTTCATCCATGCTTTTTTCCTTTCTTTCTTTAGAAAAAAGAAAGATTATTTTCAGCATGCCAGTCTTTGGTATTTATGTGTTTACGGTGGACTAAATGTAATTCTTAGTATCTCTTCACCTTTGTATTGAAAAGGCACTGTTGTGACAGAGGTCCCACTAAAAAAAAATTAATTAGTGATTGTTCTGTCTAGGCGGTAAATATTGATATTGTGACTTATTTCCCTCTGGAGAAAAATGAAATCTCACTATATCTTGAATGTGAGGCTTCATGGTGAAATCAGGTGCTTGTCAAAATAATGAAACCAAAGAAAACTGCATTTTTCGGGGGGTTTGCAGTTTTTATCGATTTTAAAAATATTGAGTTCAACCCCTTTTATGTCCATTTATAAACACATTTCTGTGAGGATCTTACTGAAAAACGTTGATTAATCTAATGGTACAAAAACTTTAAATTTTAAGTTTCCAAGGAGTGAAACTGTGAAGGTTACCAAACTCTTATGACCATTTACTTGATAGTTATGCCTCTAAAGCCAAGGCCCCCCC